CGTGCTAGATGGAGATGGGTATGTACATATAAGGCACATTACCTCATCTCTGTTGGTCAATGTGAGATATTACAATCCACCCCCCTTAGAGACCCGACATCCTTGTTGGCACACTTGCACCACATGGCAGAGTGGCTCTGATACCAAACTGTCACATCTCGGAATCGGCTCCGCCGTAGCACTATATTGTCCTCTTTAGGCCCCCCTCTCTGCCCTCACGGTTTTGTTTCTGGGAACTCACGAGCAACTTCCCAGTGGGTTACCCCTCCTGGGATTACTCTAACTCCAACTCGCTTAACTTTGGAGTTCCTATGACTCCGAAACCAATGAGCTCCCAAAATGCCTCGTGCTATATGGAGGTGGGCATGTACATATAAGGCACATTACCCTCTCTCTGTTTGTCAATGTGGAATGTTACAATATATATATTTATATACATAGAGCTTTCATTGAGGGATTCCTCAAATTAGCTTATTTGAGAGACAATTTTATAGGGCCCACTTCACATTGTATTTAACTAATCCGAACAGTCTATGTTTTAGATAATCATTCAGATATCATCTCTTCAAAAAATCATTTGAATCCGATATTGTTTGACCACTCAATTATGTTATTGAAATTTTAGTACTTTCTTAATGCACCGTATTCATTGATTTTGTAGGATACAATTGGATGTCGAAGCGTTTTCCGATTTGTCTAATTTGTTGTAAGGTTGATCTATGAATGTAGACTTAAAAAATAGATAGTTTGAAATGTTGGAAAAAAAAAGTCGTAAGATACTCTAAAATGTGTCCTTTAAATAAAATTATTTAAAGAATCCCTCAATAAAAGAGAACTATATATATATATATATATATATTTCATGTCTATATCCTTTACGTAACATATGAATGGGAAATGAGAATCAAACTCATGACTATTTACAAAAGAAAACTCTGATATCATGTTAGACAACCACTAACTTCGAAAACTTAAGCTGACAACTAAAAGTTGAAAGACACATGCCTCCATTCCAAACATTTCGTAGTTTAATTAAACAAGATAAAGATGCATTATGATCTAGAGTGGTTTTGGAGAGTAACAAATTTCCATGATTGAACCCAACGAACAAACCATAAACTTATTTCTTTCTTGTATGGTGCGAGTGATTAGGAGTTAACAATGGTGTCAACTATGCACGGATGCATGAATGTGTGCATGCAATACATGGATGATGATGATGGTATGTTGGGGAAGTGTATACCCTTCAAGTAATTGTGCAACAGAAGCCTAAGAACCAACCAAGTCTACAACCTCTCCAGTCAATCAGGATTGAAGCTAGCTATCAAATTACTATTGTGTGCTCAGTACTACAATAAAGCTAGCTACAACTCTACTTCCATGATCTCTCTCTCTCTCTCTCTCTCTCTCTCTCTATATATATATATATATATATATATTAAGTTCCAGATATATATTATATATATATATTAATACTATTCAAGAGAGAGAATATTACTGGTTACTAAATAATGCTGAGTTAGGTGAATTTATATCCAAAGAAGGGGCAGCATCCAAAGCCATATCGTGCCACATATAGACAATAATAAAGGTAGGAGGAGTTGGACTGTCATAAGCGTTAACAGTCAGTAAGCTGGCTTTGAACACTGAGATGATAAAGAGATGACGCACCATCTCATTGCAGCTTCAATAGACAATTACCTCATATGGTAAAAGAAAGGTTGGTTTTTACTTTTTACCACACTAATTTCCAAGATGTTAAACAAGTTTTTTTTTTATATTATTTTTTATTTAAAAAGACTCATTGTACAGTAACAGTACGATTGAAGAGCTAGCACAGTGAAAATGGCTAGTTTATAATAATTGGACCGCATCAGTCTTTCTTTCTTCTTCAAATTAATTTCTCTGAATATGATTGAATGGTACTCACTTCTCTCAGTCATCAGTCATCAGCAATCTGTACCAAAGGAGGGGGGGAGGGAGGAAATCATAGGGAGGGGGTATAGTTGGGATTTTGTGGTTTGTTTGTACAGTATTAAATAGGGGTTTTTTTTTTTTTTAATAGCAATGGTCTCTGAATTATACCCGTGGTTACATTTTGGTCACACAACTCCAAAAATAGCTGCAGAGGTCATCCAATTATATAGGGTTTGCATTACTAGTCCTTTTCATCAAGTTTGTTTATTTTTCTGTTAAATCCATGGGTAAATTTGGAAATTCATTCCAAATATTTATAAAAACGAAATAACAAAAAATAAATAAATAAGAGTTATTTGTAGCAAAGGTCCCTGAATTATACTCAGAGTTACATTTTGGTGCAATACAACACCTAATTGAGTGATCTCTATAATTATTTTTAGAATTAAGTGACCAAAATATAACTCCGAGTATAATTGAAGGATCATTGCTAAAAAAAAATCCATATTAAATATGTAATTAGTCACTGAGAGTCTAAGAGATGGAAGAAGGGAAAGGACAGGGAGGTTGATTTTGTTTGAGATTTTCTTTCATTGATTGGGGAAGAGACACAGCTTTGTTAACATAGAGGAATTGTCTGTGTGCCATATAATTTTGGTTTGGGTTTTCCTTTTCTTTTCTTTATAAAAAAAAAATACAATTGAAAGTTGAAAGTTGATGGGCAAGTAGAACAAGTGATTGTACCAGTCCACGTGCGCTGGAGACCCCTGTGTTGTTTGCAAAGAAACAAAACAGGCCCAACGGTTCATGGTCCTTCGGACACCGTACCATAAAAGCCTGTCGTCACTCTCACTAGTCAAGGATGCATGTGTACCCGAGAAAAATGGTGCTTGGCTTGCTTGCTTGCTTGCTTGCTTCACCTTCACAGAGAGAGAGAGAGTGTTTGGTTTCTTATCTAAGCTTGAACAAACAAGGCATTAAAACAAGAAAAATAAAAACCTTCCGGAGTTTAATTTACTAAGATCAATGTCAATACAAAAAAGTCAGGTGATTTAAAGATTTCATGTTTTCATTGTCTGGTGTTATCTAGTCTACAGGAGCATCATGGGATATTTATCCAGAAATAATGAAGATTGCAATTTGGTGCTTGATGTGACAGTTTATAAAGTTTGATAAGTGGTAAGTGTGTGTAGGGCCCATGCTTGTTGTTTTTCAAATGCAAAGTCATGAGAGTAGAGATCATACATCAGCAGCATTATACTAGCTGTGTGTGCCTTGTGGGGTGGTTGGTTGATGGATAAATTGGCAAAGGCCTCCTGGACTGTCCTTTTAGGATCCCACTCTGATCTTGTGTGTACCAAGTGCACTACTTACCATACCATCAGCATCAACCCTACTCATCAATAATCACAACTTCAAAATTGCTTCACTCAGATTGAACCAAGCTTGTGGCTGTCTGCAGCAGTAAACTGTTAAAAAAAAAAAAAAAACCAAAGCAAAACTGAACCTCACCAGCAAAGAACACACTACGCATATATACAAATGTTTATGTACAAAAGTGACAAAACGACATCTATAGACTATAGTGTTGTTTTCCACCAATCTGTTTCTAAATTTTCTCCATGGGAAATCAATTGCAGAGATAATATTGGTGTAAGTTGTTGTGGAAACAGAAGAGAGTGATTTGTTGGTATTATTTATGCATGAAACAGGGTTTGCCTTACTTTTAATGATTGCAGTGAAACCATTTAACCACTTTATAAACAGCAGAGCAGAGGGTTTTTGTTTGTTGAGGCTGTCCAGTCCAGTCCAATCCAATCCCTTTCTTCTAAACTAAGCAGCAGAAGAGGAGGAGGAGGAGGATGATTTAACCATATGAGCCATGGCCTATGAGCCTATGAGCCTATCAAAATTCACATCTTCCTCCCCCTCCTCTTTCCTCTAGGCTCAAAGTTTCTTAAAACCAGTAGGATCATCGATGGGTCATTTCAGAGAATAAAGACCAATAAGTCTCACAAGTTTTGGTGTCAGATAAATGTGTCAATGTGGTTGTCAGTGATTCAGAATGTCAGATAGATGGATGCTTTCGCTTAAGCTAACTGATTCTTCGACCAAAAAAAAAGCTAACTGATTCATCTAACGTAACGTAACCCAAAGAGGTTCTTCAGCTGCTGCCTTTTATAGACAAACGAGTACCTGCCTTGATTTAATTAACAAACATGGCCCATGCATTTGCACTCATCATCAATGATGATGCACTCTAATATCCACTGGTTCAATGGCAGTGCCCGCTCTGCTCTCGATCGGTGCCCTATCTTTTTGGCCATCGTGCTAACTCTGCAATCTAACTTTGCTACACTTACTTGCTGCAACATTTTCACCTCGTTAACTTTTCAGTTTATTTGTGTTGTGGGGTTTTATTAAGGCTGAGATTTTTGCTGCTCAAACTCAGAGAGAGCATAAATGGGCTGCAAAAATGTTCATTTTCCTATGGTAACGGTTTACCAACCCAATCCATCTTGGCCCATTTCGTCAGTCGAGCTGCCCATGTATGTGGTAAACCTTGCTTCCTACTTTCTGAATTGTAGGAAATTTGGAGCTTCTTTTATCACCTGCCAAAACAAAGGTTTGACAAAAATTCATTTGACAATGAAAGATTTTCTTGAGACATAGAACGTAAGTAAAAAAATAAAAAAAAAGACAGGTTCATGTTTTAAGAAAATTGGTAGACTATACAAACAACAGAAGAAGTGAAGAAAAGATTACATAACAAATAAACCGCTATCACTGGAATAGAATATGTATCCCTCACACCACCTCACTCAGATGCCAAGGTAGCCGTAGTTAGTACAATACAGGTATGTACATATTTTTCACGTTTAATACACGTAAATTTTCCAGGTAAGTCATATTTATAGCTTCTTCAGAAGATACAACTGAGCATGCACTACATTGTCTACGGAGATTTTGTAGCTTAAACCCCAGTAAGGGGAAATTCAGAAGTTTAGAACCATCTAAATTCATTGTCACACCAAAAATTCAAAGATAAAGAACATATACAAAGACCAATTCCTAGCATAATCAGACATAATATACCATTCTAGCTAGTACCAATTTTCCTTTCGACAATCCACACTATGCCTCATGTAAATATGACAAACTTAACATTCAAGCTTGCCACAGAAAACTTAGGCCACTACAGAGTAACCATACAACACCTTAAAATCAACACAATTGGCTATCAATTTCATATACAAAATTCAAGTTACAAGCAAGTAAGGTCGGATTACAACCAGCTTCCCTCGACCGACCCCAATCGCATCTCAATCAACCGAACATTAAACTCCCCATCACTGACCTTCAGCATCTCCCGCAACGGAAGAGAAAAGCCGTGCTCAACTAACAATCTATGCCTGGGCTTAATCTTGCCCTCCAAGCTAAACGAAAAGTACTGAGGAAACCTCTTCAGCTCTGCAATATCTTTCTTCATTTCCTTCAAAAGGAACTCAACTTTAGGCTTGTAATTTTTATTTATGCTAAAAGTCAACAACCCAGGTGACCTTATCACCATGTTGACCACCTCCTCATAGCTAAGCCCCAAGCTCTGCAAATACTGAATCTTGGGCAAAAGGGTACCTTCAACGCTCGAAACCAACAGCAATGTCGTATGGCACGTGATCGAACTCCGACCCACGAACCCCAATTCGGTCAAGAACTTCAATGCGGGCCGCAGTTGGTCGTCTACGTCGCAGACCAGGAGTCTAGGGCACCGAATTATGGACTTTCGTATATCGGGGAAGGGGATTAGGACCTCGTTGAGTAGAAAATCGAAGATTGGATAGAGATGGGTGTGCGGGTCCACAGTGAGGAGTTGCGGGTACATGTCGAGGATCCGACCGAAGGCTGAGCGCTCGATGCCCATGGAGGAGAGGCAGTTCTCAACGGACTTGAGGGAGGATATAGGGCAGGAGCGGAAATCTGGGTTGAGTTGGAGGGCTTTTTGGGAATTGACGTTGAGGTGGGTTTCTAAGTAGAGGACCTTTTCGCGGAAAAGGAGGCCGGAATCGGAAGTGTTTGGGTGGTGGGAAAGTGGGGGGTAATTTGGGGAATTGAGGGTTGGCCTGAGGGAGTTGGAGAGCGATTTGGGTGTTTTAGGGTTAGGGTTTTTGGAGGGTTTTGGAGATGGGATCAGAGACCCTTGAGGAAGAAGGAATCATGGTGTTGTGGACACTGTGTGAGCGGGCAGAGTGAAAGTGGACAGGCCTTTATCCAGAGCTCCCAAGGATGTACGAAACGACATGTCGTCGGATATTTTTAAGAGGAACAAAATGAAAAACCTTAATAAAAAGAAAGTTCAAAATCCAATCCAATCTCCCAAATTATGGATGTAATCTAGTCTAACCTGTAGGAAAATTGAATTTAACTCTAGTGTTATGAATATTTGAAATAAGTATACTATTAATAATTTAAGTGCTTATGATGAAATTATGTAGTACACTATAGATTTCGAGCCTTTGCATTTAGCTATTGTGTATTTATCTGCATTTCATAATTTAAGTGATTATGATGTTCTATATTTCTTAGTTAAAATTTAGCTAAAAGTATAAGGGCCCGTTCATTACCATTTTCTAACCCCGTTTTCTGTTTTCCGAGATTAAAAACAACCAAAAATGCGTTCGGTGCAATTAAGTTAGAAAACATAGAAAACGAAGAATTGAAAACGATCTCAACTTTCTTCATAAAACGAGAAAACAACTTTTAGACGTTTTCATCATTTTCAGAGGGAAGTGAAAACAGGGGAAATAGTTTCAGCTGGAACAAGACATCATCATGCTCTATTCCATTCTCATATTTCTCAAATCCCATACCCAAAAATTAAACACCCCACTGTCTCTTCCTTTCTCTCTTTGCCTTCTTTTGTGAGACCCACTCAGACTCCAAGGCCACAGCCTTCACCGCTATCAGATCCTTGGCTTGAATCAAACTCCTCAACGCCATAGCCTCTGCCACAGCCTCCCTCCACCATCACCACCCAATCACTCAAACTGTAACAGCCACCACCGACCCAATTGAATAAATCGAGGGTGATAGTTATTGTGATGGTTTGAATTATGTGTTCCAGTGTGATTTTGTTGCTGTTTTCACATGGGATATATAAGCCCAAACAACACCAGCACTCATGGGAGGAGAGGATGTATGAAGAGAGATGAGAGAGTTAGAGTGAAAAAAGAAGGGAGGTGGGTTGGTGGGGAGTCTGTGAGTTGGGAGAAGAAAAGTCGAGAAGAATGAGGAAGGAAATGTGTGCTAACATTTTTATTTTACAAATTTATAAATAAATCAAATCCAAGACATGTATTTATAAAAAAATTTAAACACTATTTAAATATAGAAACACACCTAAAATCAACCTCAAAGTCAACAATTGTATATTTTTTGGGTGTGTTTATAAATGGGTTTTGAGTGTGTGTAATGATGGATTTTGGGTGTATTTATAAGTGTTTTGGGTGTTGGGTTTTTTTATAATTTCAGCTCTTATTTTGGGTGTTTTAGTGAAACTCTCTTTTTATTTTATGTTAGGTTTATTATCACAAAACGTCCCTAAGATTTACGAAACTATCAGATTGCATCCTTGATGTTTTTTTGTGTCACTTATGATCCTCAAGGTTAATATGTGCAATCACAAATGGTCCCTGCCTTTAGGTTCTGTCAAAAACTCTATTAGTTTGCTAACGTGACATACATATATATCATAAAACATCCCTGAGATTTACACACTTATCACAAATGATCCCTACGAATTTTTTTAATTTTTTAATTTAAAATTCATAAAATTTTAAAAAGAAAACAAAAATGTTATGAACTTTAAATTAAAAAAATTAAAAAATTTCGTAAGGACCATTTTTGATAGGTGTGTGAACCTCAAGGATGTTTTGTGATATACATATATGCTATGTCAGCAAACTAACGGAGTTTTTCTACGGAACCTAATGACAGAGACCGTTTGTGATCATGCATACTAACCTTGAGGACCACGAATGAAAAAAAAAACATTAAGGATGCAATCTAATAGTTTCGTAAACCTTAGGGATGTTTTGTGATAATAAGCCTTTATGTTATAATCTTGTTTTAACATTAGTTTCAGGTAATTTTAGGTTTTTTTGTTATAATAAACATTAAAAAAATATTAATGAAAACATAAAAGTTGAAAAGAAATGACACTTCGTTGTTTATTTTATTCTCATATCCTACTACAAGAAGTTCTTTACTCAATAATCTGTATTTATTTTGGGAATTTTTTTTTTTGTATGTATAAGAAACTATTCTTAGATGCATACTTGTTCAGTTTATTAATTAACCAACAAAATTCAACTTTTTTATTTATCATTTTCACTTGTTATTAAAGATAATTCTAGGTTTTTCTAACATTAGAATTTAATTATTTTTTAATTATTTTTTCTAGAACATACATTATCAAAAATACACTTGAAAAATAGCTCATATATTATTATTCTCAAATTGTACTACCGGACAAGTTTTCACTGTTTTTATTTTCTGAATGTTTTCTAATTAATCTACCAGACGCATTCTTGAATCCTGAAAATGCAAATTCATTTTCTTGTTTTCATTCTCTGAAAATATTCTCTGAAAACGTTACCAAGAAAGCTATTTTATGAGCTTTCTAAAAAAATTCAACTTCAATCATACTCCCTAATTTGGAGAGTCATAAATGTTATAACTCTTTTTTGATTGGTCCATCTCTATTATAAAATAAAATAAAAAATAGTTAGCATTAAATAAATGTTTGAAATACTCATTAAATAAAGCAGCATTAAATTATAGGGAGTCACTAGGAATGTTTTCTCTCTCCTCAGATTTAGGAGTTCTTAGAGGACTCTCTATTTTAGGAGGTGGATATGGAGCATGGTTGGAGTTGCATTTTTACAATTCCTCCCTAAAATTTGTCTAAGGAGGTGGTTTAGGGAACCCATTGTGGATGCTCTAATAATCTAACTGCTTAAGAGATGCCACATCGTCAAGCTTTGAGTTTTTTTATATCTAAATTGACGTTGAACTAACGTTAATGCTCTTTTTTTTTTTTTTTTTTGCCTTCGTGCCTTGAGCGTCTTCACCTGGGTTGAGTTTCTGCTTTGTGATGTAATGGAAAAACTCCCATGTTTGCAAAAACTTTCAATTCCAATCAAATCAAGTAAAATTAGTTTTTTTTTCTTCCAGTTCACATATTTTTTTCCTTCGCCTTTTAGGAAGAAAGAGTGATGTCAATGGAAGTTTATATGATTCCTTGAGTTTAAATTTCAATAGCTACCTTCTTCTTCCTCCACTGATAAGCAAAACCTTGTGCTGATGTCTTTCGATTAAAAGAGGATCTGTGCAAAGAAAAAAATGAAAAGAAGAATAGAAAAAACTAGTTTTGCCTTATTGGAATTGAAACTCTCCCAATAATGGGCAATATTAATGCACTGAATTATAAAGAAAGGAGAAAGTTTTACGATGAACAACCGGAGAAGAAATACACTAAAACAAGGCAAGACGCTCAAAACTGAAGGCATAAAACATGAGTTTAAAAAAAAAAACTCGAACTTGATGATGTGGCATGTTTTAAGTAGTTGAATTTTTAAGATGACTTGGATATAGCGAAATACGAGTAAATGCACAATAGCTAAAAGTAGAGGCTTAGGATCCAGTACACTACGTAATCACAATACTTATTTATTTTTAATATTTTTGTTTCATTAAAGTGTATGTGAAATGTAAATATTAAATTTTAATTTAGAAACTAGTTCGTTTTAAAGTGCTATTGGAATTACTAAATGTGCTTTGATGATGTTTTAAATGGTGAAGGTAGGAATTTAAATACGTTTGGATGATATTTTAAAAAGTAATCCAAATGCCCTTCGAATCTCTGATGATGTTTTAAACGGTGAATGTGTGAATCCAATCCAAATACGCTCGGATGACATTTTAAACGGTGAGTGTATGTAGTGAATAAGAGTAGGGGAATTTGAACTCTCTGTGCATAGACCGAATTGTAAACACAAACAAGAATGCATTTTCCCACCATTAGTTGTTTCCTAAAATGACCAAAAAGACATCATCTTCTTAATCAAAACATACGTGGGAAGTGGGACAAAAAGGGAATTTCACAAAATTTAAGTTCCAAAACCCACCGACTAACCGCCACCCAGCAACATGTTAAGAGAACCGAAACCTCAGAGGTTGAGGTTGGTGTTGGTGGTGATGGTGAATGTGAATCATCAAAATCATGGACGAACTGAAACGTGGGTTAGGGAAGGGACCAAGGAGGGGGAGGGCGAAGGACACAAATTAAAAGAATTGTTTTGTTTGGTTGGTTTGGGAATTTCTGACGTTTCCGGTTCTCCCGCTAATTTCGTTTACCGATTTTTCCGGTCACCCGGTCGTGTTATGTAAAGCTATTTGTAAGCTCACACACATCCTTCTCTTTTTCTCTCTCCGTCTCTGTGCCTTTTGAATCTCCTATTGGCTGGCTGGCCAATCTCTCTCTCTCTCCCTCTCTCTGTGTCCGAACATTTCAGACGTTTCGATTATGTTTTTCTAAACTCTCTGTTTCATTTCCTCTTCTGGGTAAGTTTCCCTTTTTTGTATTTCAAATTTTATGCTATATGATGATATCCTTTTTGCCTTTACTATTTGTTTTTTCCTTGTTTACGCTCAAATTTCCTCTCTTTTTTTTCTCGGTTAGGTTACTGGTAGCCCTTTATATAGCTTCAATTCTCAAATGGGTTCTTGTTAAATTTGATTTTGTTATCTGGGTTATACGATTTTAATCACCCCTGTTTCTGTAAGAATGAATGAATTTGGTCATTGCGTTATGTAAAATAGGAAAAAGCATATTTCTTTTTTATCCAACTTGTGTGAGTTAGGATATTGAACTGTGGTGGATAGATTGTCATGGAAACATGTATGATTTTTTTGGTAGGCTTTTCAATCTTTGGGACTGTCAAAGAGGGGGATTCAAGAGTGAAATTGGGGCCGAAGGTACAGGATGGGAAGGGTAAAGCTAAAGATAAAGAGGTTGGAGAATACAAATGGGCGTCAAGCAACTTATGCTAAAAGGAAGCATGGCATCATGAAAAAGGCTAATGAATTATCTATACTCTGTGACATAGATATTGTTCTTCTCATGTTTTCACCAACCGGAAAGCCTTCTTTATGCAGTGGAAAACGCAGGTATGTTCCTTCTACTATTGAAAAATTAAAGAATTATATTGCCTGGCCAGAGGATATAAAGAATCACACAAGGTTTTCATGTTTGCTTGTGAAAACTAGTCAGGTTCTTCAAGAAATTTAAGCCTTAGTTGATCAAAGCAATTGATTGGGGGAATTCAGTTATTAAATGTCTAATATGTGAGGCAACTATCTAGGTTAATAACCAAATTATCTTCATTTAGGAGACAATGTGAACCTAACAACTAAGAAGAAGGAAGATTAAAGACCTATGCATGTAGAATTCTATAGATGTATGAGAGAGGTTCAAGCATTGGTTCAATATGTTTCATTGTGTATCATGCACTTGTTGGTACTGATATATACACGTATACATTTGTGTATGTATGTTAATTTGGCCTCTCTTATGACAAAAGCAGAGTAGATAATATGACATACCATAACTTTTTTATTTTTTCTTTAGTTTTAAACAAGCCTCAATGTTTTATTCTGAAACCGAGATTAGTAAGTACATGACGATCATGCACTGGCATTATTGAATATCATGTGTCCATGCAGTTTTATTTTGTGCGCGTGATGGCTGTAAGAGTATAACTTCTGATTGGGAATATCATTGTCATCAGTAACTTTCCCTTTTCTCTGTTTTTTTTTTTTTTTGGTTGAGTTTAGTAGCATTGAAGAGGTTATAGCAAAGTTTGCTCAACTAACTCCACAGGAAAGAGCCAAAAGGTAACTTTCTTCACTCAAAGAATCAGTCATGTATCTGAATACAGTTTAAATAGAATCCTGTCTAAATTTCTTTTTATTGGATTCTAACAGGAAACTGGAAAGCCTCGAAGTAAGTCCCTTTTGATACCTAACTTTTGATTAAATGATGTTATCATAATTACCCTTTTTTCTGTTTGAATATAACATCTGTATCATTGTCACTTCTATCTCTTACATATTTTTTGTTTTCTTGTTGAGAGTTTAGGCACTGAAGAAAACATTCAAGAAGTTGGATCATGACGTGAATATACAAGAGTTTTTGGGTACAAGGTATGTGCGCTTACATACTGGCTTTAAAAAAATTCGTAAATTTTTTGTAATTACACTAAATGTGTTTTTCGTTTCTTTTTGTTTCAGTTCTCAAACAATCGAGGTAAGCATGCAAATTCATGTTTCCAGTGTGATTTTTCACCATTCAAGTCTCTTGGTCACTACTATTCGTTGCTGCAGCATGTTTTTTTATATTCCCCTCTCTTTTCTTTCCTTTTTTTGGACAGGATCTGACTAACCAGTCTAGGTTATTGCAAACCCAACTTTCCGAAATAAAAAAGAGACTAAGGTGAATGCCTGAAAATTTGGGTTGGAGAGTTTTCTGGTTTCATTCATTTACGTTGTAGTGAAAATTTACTATGGTTATTGACCGCACTCTATACTAATTTTACACCAATCTTGAATTCTGCAGCTGTTGGTCTAGCCCTGATAAGATCACCAGTGTAGAACAATTGGGGCAAATGGAAGATTCAGTAAGAGAATCGCTTAACCAGATTCGGACACATAAGGTATCCCTTCTTCCAGTAGGTCACATATGAGGAAGTTTAGTGTATGCCCTGCCCAATGTGAGGATTGTGTTGCTTGCTGGTGGGCAATTTTGTCATCGTCTGGCTCCAAGGTTTTAGCTTCTCTAGCTTTTGTAAATAGCCTAGCTCTCCAGTACTATATGCCACTGAAATTTGAACTCTAGGATATGTGTCTCAAGAAATTGTAGATGTGACCCTTAGTATTTCTCTCCTTTCTTTTCTTGTGGCCTGGGTTGTGGTGCCTTTCTTTCATTTCTATGTATTTATAATTTGATCACTCTGTTTTTCTGGAAATTTATGTGAGAGGACTTCAAAAAGTTAAAGTGCCACCCCTAGAGAATAGTTAAGTGTGTACGAGTCCACTGGAGTTTGAGCGAAAAAAGTGTTGGCAACTACTGCAATACACAGCATAATAAAAAAATTATTACCACTGTACAAAAAGGAATGTATAATCTCCAATTGTATCCTCTTTCTTTGTAGGCTACCATCACTTCCAATTTGTTCTAGACCTTGTGATACTAATGCTATCCATTTTTCTGTTGGCAGGAAAACCTACAAAAGCAGCAACTTATGTCGTTAGAGTGCACTAGTCAGGTAAATAACTGTTTCTGGTTGTGAAACTTTCCTGATGTTTTATTTACTTATTAATACGGGCAGACATAGAAGCTTAATGATTCTCATCTTGCAGTTCCAAAATGGGTTGCATATACCTTTCAGCATGAATGCTGAGCAACAGCTGCAGCCTTTGTCATGGATTCCGACTAATGAAAGCCGGCATATGGTTTTACCGGAGGACCCAAACTTGCTTCCCCATAGGTAAGTGTTTGTTGAGAAGTACATACTAGCTCTCCTAGCTATCTTATTTGGACTGATTCCTTCCTTATCAGATGAAGTTCTTCATAAATGGAACATCAAATGGCTTCTTTATCTAGTAAACTTTTGTTAATATAAAAAAATAATGAATTTCTCTAATGGTTGATTGCCATTATCTCACAAGTGTAACTCAGTGGAGAATGTCTTTTCCTAGGGATATGGAATGCTCTGCAAGTTCCTCCTTTGGGAGTTATTCTGGTTACCTTGGTACAGGAAAAAGTTCAGAGATTTCTACTTCTGGGCAAGAAAATGGTATTCTTAATGACTTAAGTAGAACTGCACCGCTGAGGCTACAGCTGGGTGGGCAATTTCCTTACCTGCCGTACAATCTCAATATGCTGACTGACACGAAATTCCAGCCACCAGCAGAAATGAGTCCTCAAGAAAACCCTGTGGAGTATCATGTTAATGGAAGCTTTGAAGCTCCTAGACCCGAGTTTTACCCTACTCAGCATAGTTGGGCCTCTACATCTGGTCCTTGTGCTGTTACCATGTTTGATGAGCATTTATATTCCCAGGTCCGTTTTCCCTTCCCCTATTCTGGATTTTCTCAATAAATCTTTCTTACTTGTTACTTGTTTGCCTAGCCTATTATTTGTGCCCTTTTAATTGAATTTCGAACTCCTGTAAATGTGTAAATTAGGATAAGAGCGAGAGTGTCTACAAAAATGGTAGCGTGTGTTGTTTTTCCTTTAGCTGAACTTCTAGTGTTGTCTAACTTTGCTGCTTGATGCCAGCAGTCAAACTGAGGTTGAGTGATTTTGTCGTTCATCCGCTGATGGGGAGTTGCTGGAGAAATCTGTTTGAGTGCTTGAGAAGTTTACTCATCCATCAAGGTTTTCACAATCATAATTTTTGCCGTGGAAATATAGAAGGCAACCCACTGAGTGTACAGCACGGGTTCAACACATAACGGCCTTGTCATTAGTCCCTTGCCAGAAGGAACGATGGTGCTGACGCCCAACAATGAAACACCAAAATCTAATGAGAGATCTTCTGTGTGGTTATTATATATGATATAGGTTCTGTTGAGTTTCTTTTTGCCCTCCTCCCCCCAATTCTTGACCGTCAAGGTTGCTAGTGGCAGTTTAGGATGCTGCCTTCCCTTGCTCCCTCTCAGTAAACTGAGCTGTAAATAAAAGTACATACAACAATATAGTATAAAAGCATAAACATATTGGAAAAATTTGTCAACAATTCCATGTTGCTGTCTTTACACACTGCAAACTGTGGGTGGACAATTGCTAATGAGATGCCAAGTGATTCAGAAAGTTCCAGCAAAACATGAATTGGAACCACAGAGCAACTGTATGCACAGTATGACATTTGTATATTTTTATTTTTATTTTATTTCTTTTTTTAAATGAATGTAGATGAACTCTGTTACTTGAATCGCCACATAAAAAAGAAAAAGAAAAAAGAAAAAAAGGGTTGGTGTATGCGATGCTTCGTGCATAGATTCTCTGGTAATTTCTTTTGGTTGTTAACTGGTATGAATCTTGAGGCAATTATGTTTGACAGAGACATGAAAAGCTACGAGACAATCAACGAGACATTGAAAGATTGAAATGAAATGTCTTTACAGATTTTTGAATCCAACCCATATAACATTGTACCACCAACCAATTATTCACTTCCACCGCTCAAAAAAATTCTGTTCATAGATTTACAGTATTAAGTTAGTCTTGTAAAGTAGGTAGTAACAAAAAGTTGTTTGCCTGTCACCATCTGTTAAAACGCCAATTTACGGGAGGAAGGACGTGAGAATATTTTTTTTGGGCCCTATCTTGGCTGAGCATATTATACCAGATAATATTCCTAAATTGACCCTTGATTTGATTAATTATCATTCTTTCCAAATTGATTAAGCCAACAGCCCTTTTTCACACATGAAGTAAAATTTTTTGAGACACATCAAATTCAATTCCGGCCCTCATATCGAAAATGGGTTATAACTTTTTATAGCGTCAAACCCAACCTAGGAAAAACTTATCACTAACCTTGACTAATTATGAATTTGTGAATTGGCACACTTGCTATGGTTATGGATGGATTATGAATTGGCTTAGTGTAAAGGTTTTTTTTAAAATAAAAAATAAAAAAAATTATGCAAGCGATATTGGGAGAGTTAGGATTTCAAAACTGGAAACTAATCTTAACTACTTAAACTACAAACTCGTTGTAAAGCTTATTGAGTATGTAATTACTGCAACTTGCCCCATGTTTAGAGAAGTGGAAGAGAAGTATAAGCAGCTTGTTTTTATCTGGGCCGCAAGGAAGAGATTGGGTTTTTGAATGGGGCCTATACCCTAAAGTGCCCAATGGTAAGCCTTGGCCCTATTTCCTTTCATTCGCCCTTGAGGTTTTTTTTAGCCAACAGCCCAAGGCTTTTTTCTAGCCAATTGTCCTCTTGAGGATAAGACATATTGAATTGAGTCATTTTATAAATATTTCATTACCACAAAACTCAAATAGATAACCAAGATAATTTATTATTTATTAAAGGTGAAACAAGAAGCAAGAAATAATAAATTAGCAATCCATTACTAGTGGAAAATGGAAATTTACATTAGTCTTCAACAAACATGGCGGGTGGTCAAAGTCCACCACCTCTGCCAACTTCAGCTCTTACAATTGCAGCAGAAGTAAAAATATAAATAAAAACAAGACCCAAGAAAGGGTTTAGGGTCCCAAAGATAGAAGGGTACCCTACTCCCCACGCTGATAAAATTTAGAGATTAAAATGATGAAGAGCCATTTTAAAATAAGCTAGCCCCCCTCAGACTTTGACCATAACATAGAGGCCAACGACTGACAGAACAGACCCAATAACTACTATAGTATACTAACTAATATCCTAGTATACTAAGAGTCATACTAATCTTCTTGATACTTGGTATATATATGTAAAAATCACCCTAGGAAATGGCTAAATATAAAGAGGGCAGGGGCCCTAGCGGAATTGGGCACCACTGTAGGTCTGCCCAAAGGACCACCCAGCTGGGGCAGCATTGTAGGACACCACTGTGCGGCCATCACTGGTAGTGACCTTGAAAGAGAGGCTTTGGCCATTGAGGTAGGAGTTGCTTTGCCAGTTCTGGCCCCAATTTCTGGACATTGCTTGCCAACCAGTCCTGGACCCTTTGACTGAAACAGAGTGCACATCACCGGCACCACCAACGTTTGTGATGAGGACCAGGTTGAAGTAGGAGTGCCCATTGATGGTGAATCTGATACCTCCCCTTCTCCCGCAAGGTACCCTACAAACATAAAAACCCAGAAAAAAAATTAGTACTTCTTCAACCACAAATCTTTTTTAAAATATAAAGGTTCGATTTTTGAGCAATGAAATTTCACCAGGCCTACCTTCTGTAAGCAACAGGCACAACACCAGCTCTGTACTGAGCAATGTGCTGGAAGACAGGCTGAGAGAGGTCAAAGTGGTGCTGAGGAGGATTGCACCAGCCCCCAGCATTGTTAGGAAGGGCATTGTTTGGTGGGCAGAAATTGGTGGCTGTGACCACAATGGCACCAGGCAAGCACCATTTGGGGTCATTTACACACCTAATCTCATAGCAAGAACCACAGCCCAAGCCATTGTTGAACAGAGCAGTGCTCAGTGCTGCAGTATTTGTCCCATACCCCTGACTGTAGAGGTTTCCATACCCACAAGCACCACCTATAGAAAACAAAAATCCCCAAATAAGAAAAATGGTACTCAAAGAACATCTCAGAGATCTGAAAGACTGTTTCTTTTCTCTTCCAGAAACAGAAAAAATGAATATTTTTTAGTTTTGATGCATACCCATTGTCCCAGAAGCATCACCGCCTCCATAGAAAGTGGCACGAGCGTTAACCCATCCACCTCCACCATAAGCATGCGCACAGGAGACCATTGCAAGAAGACCCACCAAACAAAACCCATAAACAAGAGCCATTTTCCTGCACAAAAACCAGTGAACCATTCAGCATTTTCTACATCAGAAAGACTCGGCTTTTTAAAAATAAAATTAAAAATTAAAAAAAGGTGACATTTTTTTCTTTCCAGTGTGAACACTAGAAAGAAAGGGGAATGTGAGGGAGAGGGACAAGGTTAGTACATTGGGATGAAGTTGAATGATGAGCCTTGAAATTTTGAACAAAGGAGAGAAAATGTGAGGCAGAGGAGTGAGGAATGTGGGAGGGGGGTGGGGGGGATTATATACAACTTTGGGGCAAGGGCTGGGGACTACTTAGCCACCATGACCACTGACATAACACTTTTTTTTTCCTTTTTTCTTATTGAGGCTGTAGGGGACCATAAACTGCTGGGCAAACTGGTTTTACAATAGTTAAAAACAAATCCTTTGAGGTGGAAGGGCAGTTTTGGAGGGGAAACCGTGTGGTTTTTGATGGTTGCTGCTTAGTAGGAAATTGCCCAATCCTACTGAGACATAGCGGTTTTTTGGCTTTTTGATGGGTGACGATTCCATTAGAATCCATAACTCACATGCAAACCACTGCCCATTTGCCGCAACTACCCTTTTCTTTCTTTGTTGTTTTCTATGCTGCTTCTCTCTGCTTTTACTTTTCCTCCTCCTCGGTTTTCTTATTAGGTTTGTTAATTAATTAACTTATTGTATATATTTTTCTTACAACTCACACCAGACTCACCACACCCACCTTTTTAAAAAGAATATAAAGATTTTTGATGAACTGGGTCTTTCTTGCTCTGGCCAGGACCCCTTATACTTAACCTAACAGAATTTTCCAACTTTATGACAATGTAACCATAATTTAATGCCCATGAAATAAAAGTTGCAGACTTTATTTTATTTCTGAACCACAACATTTGCTGTCCTAGCCAGGGAAAAAAAAAACTCGCGCTGTGTCTCTGTTTCTCTGCCATGGCACATCTTGAGACACACATATTTCACAGTAGCTTTAACTATACAGCCGTTTAAAAGGACTTGGGGCAGGAAGAGAGAATTCAATGCCCATATCTTTTCTGGTAAACGAACTGAATGAACATTTTGACCCATGAATCAAAACAATTCAACCTTCTTCATTCAATGCAGAAAAAATTTACTTGAAACGTGTCATTGTATTATTAATCAGGATAACAGAACATTACTATTCCTGTTACTATTCCTGTTGCATGTGTTTCTCCGTTCGATGGCATCTCTGCCAGGTTTGAAAACACACCAGAAGGCGGTGCACCGATTACCATCTTTGATCTATATTGGATAATTCTCATCCACGGCCCATATTCAACTGGTCAGGTTCGGTTACTGCAGAGCAGACGACTCTATCAAATCAAAAACAGTGAGAAAATATATAAAGAAAAAGGAAAGGGCAAAAAAAGGCCCACACAGCCCAGCAGAAGCACATGGGTGATGAAATTTTTAGCAGCTTAGGTGTCTTATAGTTGAAGAAGACCTCAAATCTCAATCTTCATCAAATCCCGCTATTTATTTCTCTTTCTTGTTTCACATCTATCATTTTGTTTTGGATTGTTTTGGATTTAAAGAAAGGAAAAATGGAAGAAAGCACACGTGGTTGCAGGTAGATGTGTGGTTATGAAATTTACACAGGTGACAAGCCTATGTGCGGCTTCTAACCATGGCTCCGTTATCTTTCTCTTACATTAGCTAAACGTATTAAGATCTTGGTAATTATTTATTAAGAAGATAAGATTTTGCATGGAAAACGATAACCTCTCGATTCCAACTTGATTGGCAACATATTAATAAGACCGCGATTCTCGGCATTAGTGTCTCTAGCTAATGGCCAAATATAAGTAGAAAATTTAGGTCATGTACGTAATTTATGGTAGCTCATGGAGTTCATTGACTTCAAAGAATCTTCTCGTTTTTATACTTTATACCTTCTCTTGTACGGCTTCGTTGTCATGTGTACAATTTACAAAGCAAACAATGAAAAATTCACAATTTGACAGATGTTTAATCATAAAATCCCAGATGGGGTTTAACTAGGGAAGTCTTCGAGGGTGCATCTTTCGTACTAAATATGAACACATTTAATGAATTTATACTATAATAGAGAATTATGATCCCATTGTCAATGTAACATCTACAACCTACTAAGTACAAATGCGTACTGTAGAAAACTCCGGTTTTTGAGACCTAATTAATGAGCTTAATTACGTATTGTTGTTATTGTAAAAATAACATTCTTGGCACAGTTAAACTAATTAACTAGGTGTGAGCTCTTCAAGATACATGTCATTTGTCTGCTGAAAGGGACTTATTGAGTCCATAAACGGCGGCATTTTGCAGCTACACATGCATCTGCTTTGGCCTCATTGTCCTTGTTCAAAACCCATTTGGCTTCTACACGATTTGCTTTTGAATTTTTGTCTCTGAGAGATTTTCCGACGCAGAACCATCAATACCCAGATGAAAGAAACACAGGAAACAGACAATGCATTTCATAATCGAATCTGATATTCTAAAATTACACTGCAAGGCCCATAGGGAATTTTCTCCATATCTTCATCTTCAGAAAAAGAAGAGATAAGTTGAGATATATTTTATTTGAAAGTTGAAGGATTAACGGCCAATAACCAACTTGTAGTTGAGATATGTCCAACTGAAATAGTCCAACAGTCCAACTTGCTTTTCAACCATGTCCTTTTTGTAAGATTCCATCTGGACCGTCCATCGTTCCAACGCAATCAAATGCTGCTGCCGGTCTAGATTTTGCTACCTTTTTCTGATCTCTCATACCTTTCACTGTTTCTAAAGGATTCACTACCCTGCGAGTCTGCGACCCTGTCTAAGGTCAGGATTTGATACTCTGAACCCTGCATGGCTGCAGCCTAAAGTCAAATAAATACATCGAAATACGAAATCCCCTCAATCAATTCTTGAATCTTGACTAAACAAATAAAGGCATTAGTAACTAAAATCAAGCTAAGTGTTCACTTGACTACAAAAGTTACTATAGCCTTTATAAGAATTTGTTAATAAGGATTAAATATTTGATTGTGATGCAAGCGAGAAATTGCGCAAGTGATTAAGAATAGTTACGCATGCACTCTGAGGTCTTATACTTGAATCACCCCTTCTCTAATCTTGTTCGTATCTTAAAAAATAAATAAAGATTTAACTGTGATTGAAGTAGTGGTGGTAATTATAGGGCTAATGAAACGCCCGTGAGGCTGACTGTAATTCCCAACTCATCAGAATCTGTATTCATCTCTTGTCTCCCCTCGTGTGCTGTGTTGTTAGAAAGTAAGTGGTCATCATATGCTTTATCCAGCAAGGACTCCAAGCCAAAGATGAAACAAATAATAACCCCCAACATGTGGTCCAGGCAATCCAATAGAAAATTCTTATTTACCCAACAGAAAAAAATGAAACAAAAAAATTCAAAAGAAAAGAATGGCGGAGAAAGAAGATTCAGTTTGGTGTGATTATGAATGGTGTTTTAGTGTCCCCAGAGCCCTTACAAGCTGAATTTTCAGAGGGGAATAAAGTCACACAGCACAATGATCTAGAAGAAGGCGGAATGTGAGTGAGAAGAGAGAAGCTAAAGCCCGTGATCAAAGGAGTTGTTGTTGCCTAGTAGTAAAAGGACTAAGTGTGAGAAGAAGATATATCTTTTTGTGGTAGATAGATTTGGCTTTTTTCAGCTTTGTTTTCTTGTCTCCTCTCTTTTAAGTTTTAAACTGCCTTTGGTTAACCAACCCAACTACCTCTAGCAACAATAATATCCTTCCTCCTTTCCTCCTTTCCTCCCTCTATATTCTATATAGCACTGCGGAAAGTAGTGTAATTGATTGCAAAATCAAATACGTGCTCTAAAAGCGCTTCCAACTACCCACGGGATTTGGTGAAATGCTTTCAAAGTTTTAGGGTTTGGTGTGGTTTATAATTTTGGTTCAACAAGTATTAATGATGGCCAAAAGGGTAAAATTTAAAAAGGTTCTTCATTCCACAAGAGGAAGAATAAAATGATAATGGAACGAGGGCCTCTCCATTTGGTCTAAAAAAAAGTTAGAGACATCAAAATACTTACTTTGAATCTCGTTTGTTTTTAACAAATAACATGTAAGTCACTTATCATATTGACATTTTTTTAATGATATTATGAAAGAAGAAATGTTGCCGACACCGATTATGCTTAAGATTTGCATTGATTCTCTTGTTACTTTCTTTAATGATGGATCACTTGACTTTTAACAATTGATTAAACCCTATAAAGTTATGCAAAAGTTTGCATTGGATCTTGTTTTGAATTTTAAATTAGTCCACAAAAAATTTGGAGTCAATCGACTACACACTAATTCCCCTTCGGCCCATGCAGGTCCCATGGTTTTTAAATTTATACATCCATTTTGAGTGGATTCTTGTAGGTTATGTACTTATGCGACCCTTTTATTTTCTTCTGTGCTTGATATCATATCACAATGGTCATTTGTGCCTTCTTTTATTCCATTCTCCCACCCGTGAACAAAAACCAAAAAATAAAAAATAAAAAACAAAAAACAAAACTTTACTTACTGAAATGTATGTGGTGAACGGTCAAAAGAAATTATGTATACGTACAAACAAATGAATTTTTATGAGTAAAATAATAAATTAATAGTACTTAAATTTAAGTAAGAAATTTACATAATTTAAGAATCAAATCCAGCTGCCACCTTTCTTGTCACGCAATCTCTTTGTTGAAAAATTTGGGGGGATTAGAAAGCTTGAGTTAATAGCATTTAAAACTATCATTTTCGGGTCTATTTGTTTCTACAAAACCTGATTCATGGTGTTGGGTAGCGGACCAAAATCGATGTGATGGTTAACTACATATTAGGAATTTCTTCAACCTCTCTATGATTAGATAAAGCAAATTTGGATAAATTAATTTAAATCGCTTTATAGTCGTGACGCTTGTTTGAGATCATAAAAGCGTCTTACAACTAGGTCAGAGATTCCATGACATAAGCCATGAAATTACATTTGCTTTAGAGAGGGAGACCCCTATTTGAAGCAACTAGCAATTAGCAATTAACTAACTAATTACATTTGGAATTTTTAATATTGTTAAGTGTAGAAGCAAAAGAAACGTCTTGGGTTTTTATCAGTTTACAAATTTATTCACGTTCACTTGATCATCAAAATTTTCTGAATTATATTAGTCTATTATTAATTTTTAAATATTTGGGTAA